CGATAAAGGGCACAGACAAACTCCTGGGCCAGGGGCCTCCTGACAACGGCAGGCGTGACAAGGTGACAGGAGTCAGGCCACCAGATGGGCCCCAGTGATGATCCCACTCGTGCCCTGCATTTTGTACAAGCTTGGGTGGGGAACCAGGTCCAAGGCAGGGAAGGGCCAGGCTGGGGCACCCATGAACGTTGGCAGTATCATCCCATCTCACTGGTGAGGCTCTGAGGACCTAGGAGACCAGGAAACTTCCCCAAGGTCATGCTGCAGAGTCCTTCCCAGGGTCCTGTGAGGAGTCCTCTTCCATACTGGATAGTGCAGGGACCTTTCCTGACCTGGAGGTGTCAGGAAGTGCACTCCCTGGGCCAGGTAAGAGGACGGGGAGGAAGAAGGCAGAAGATAAATGTGGGGAGAAGAGGGAGGTAGGAAGGGAAAGGATTGAGGGAATGAGAGGAGGAGGGAGGGGAGGAAGAGGAACAGGAAGCCTGGCCAGAGAGAGGCACAAGCTTGTGGACAGTATTCACTGAGCACCCACCGGGCAGGGTGTATGGCTTGGGGAGGAGTAGCTCTGCACTGAGAGCCTTTCCCTTTGTGCAGACCCTGGTTAAGCTTCAGCCTCTCCTAAGCGAGCATGAGCCCAGCTCTGATGTGCGTGTGCCCACAGCACCTGGCACAGGCAAGACACACGAGTGCCCAGAAAACTTGGATGAGTGCCCCCTGGATGGATTTGGGAAGGTGATTCCAGGGTGTCAAGCAGCACAACAAGATATCAGGAGTTGGTGAGGTGGATGAGAGGGTGGAGGGCTGGTGCCAGTCTGTGGAAGCTGGAGGGTTGTTCCACTGGACAGGGGTAGGGCAATGAAGAGTTCTAAGCAAGGGAGTGGAGTGATCAGCTTCTCATTTAGAAAATACCCCTTCAAAGGCTGGGGACCAAAGACAAGGGGGGGAAAGTGCAGGCAGAAATGTACCCTGAGGCCCTTTTCTGGATCTAGGGCAGAGGTGATGGGGTACTAAGCTGAGCAGGAAGGCGGTTGGGATGGAAAGTGGGGGACAGAATCCAGAGACACGGAAAAATCAGACAAGAGTATCTCCTTGGCCCATCCCCACCACAGGTGGCAGGAAGGAAATTTCAGGAAGAGGCAGTAGAGAAAGGAAGAAACACAAGGCAGGACCTGGTTCACTACACAAGCCCACAAGCCTCAGATCAGTGGCTGGGAAGTTCAGAGGTGCCTAGGAAGGATACACACACACACACACACACACACACACACACACATATGTTTGTCTCAGTCAACCCTCTGCAGTGCCCATTGATCAAGAGGGAAAGATGAGGGCAGCTAAGGCAATGCATGGAGTCTGTGGAGAGCTGGGATAAGGGTCCAGCTATCCTCTAAGGTCAACCCAAACCCCCAACACCACCTCTAGGAAGCCCACTCAGGCAGCACCTGCCCACCTGCCCTTTATGACCTTGCCCTCCTCCACTGAGAAGCCTCAGCCCTGAGATAAGGAGCCCCTCTCCTCTGAGCTGTTTCAGGTCTCGTCGGGTTCATTGTGAGTTTCGAGTCTTGTCTAGAAAAAAGGGGCATGCCCAGGTTTCCATGTGGCTTCCCCACCTGTGGGCATGGGCACAGACTTGGACACAAAGGGTGAATGGTAAAGGGGGCTCAGGAACTGTTTGGCAAGCTCAAGTGACAGCAGTCAGTTTTTCAGTCCTGAATGCTGCCTCCAGGTGTCTTTAGAGTGGGGGAATGGATTACAGGGACAAAGCAGAGGCCAATCTCGTGGAGGGTGCTGAGGCTAGGCAGGGAGCCTCTCCTGGGCCTGACCCATTAAACAGATGGGCACTCTGAGCTCCACGTAGAACAGAGCGAAGCATCCAAGGTACCATCAGGCATCTCCAGCTATCAGTGCTAAGTCCCTCCCTTCGTCAACCTCTCTGACCATTTCTCTTTCCTAACCTTACAACCCAGGAGCTGGCAACCCCTTCCAGCCAGTCAGATCCAGCCTGTAGCCTATTTTTGTATGGCCAGTGAGCCAGGAATGCTTTTTACATTTCTAAATGGTTGGAAAGAATTAAAAGAATCATATTTCACGACACAGGCAAAATGTATGAAATTCAAATTTCAGTGTCCATAAATAAAGTTTATCAGAACAGAGCCATGCTCACTTGTTTACATATCATCTAAGGCTGCAGTAGGCTACACAGTAGAATTAAGCAGTTGTATATGGACACAAGCGTAAAATAATTGCTATCTGGCACTTTACAGAAAAAGGTTGCCTACCCTTGTTCTAGGCTCATGCAACACACGCACACATGTGCACACGCGCACACACACACACACACACACACTTTCCTCCCTTCAATTCAATATGCAGCTGGACTTTTACTAACGAAGACCTTTGTGATCTTCTTTGGGCAAATATCTCTGAGTCTCTGGGTGTGCCCAGATCTGTGTGAGAAGGTGTGTCTCAACATCCATTTGTCTTTCTGGTGTTGCTTGTCACTATTGTACCCCACCTCTCTGGCAGGTGTCATAGAAAGCCTATATGCCTTTCTAGCTGTGTGTCACTCCCTCTCTGTGTGTCACTGTGGGGGTGGCTGTCACCGTTTGCCTCTGACGGCATCCAGAGCTTGGTGCAAACACGTTGCAGCTGAGGCGTTTCCAGTCTCCATCTTGCCAGGAGGCTGGACCACTAAGCCCAATTCATTCAGACCCTGGAATCTTAGATTCCTCTCCTCAGGGAAGGCTGAGGGTCTCTGAGGCCTCTAGGCCTTCCAGGGTGGAAAATCACTTGGCAGCCCCTGTCTGGGGCATCAGGCCCCTGCTCACAAACCTGACCAGGACAGGAAACTCATTGTCACCTCCAGTGTCAGCCCCATGGTGGGTGGGTCTCAGGCAAGCAAGGCCTGCCTGGCACCGAGCTAAACTCCGGCTCTGCACTTGGCACATCTTGGTTCTGCCCTGTGGCAGACAGCACAAGATGTCCTCCACTTAATCAGTGCCAGCCCCAGGTCAATGAAATGCTTGTCCCTGGGAGGGCAGCAACCTGGGACGCTCCAGCCTAAGCCCTGTCCCCAGGAGAAAAGCCACCCTGTGGCCTTGGCTTTCTTAGCCTCTCAGCCACATATACTATAAACTCCCATGTGTGTATTTATTTATTCGACACAAATTGAGGGAGTGTCCCAAAGCTGATGCACAACAGAGAGAGGTGGCCATGTGAAAAAGCATGGGTCCCAAAGTGTTTCTCCAATCAATCCCCTGCCAGCCTGAACCTTATACAAAACAGGACTTAATGCACTGCTTAGCCTAGATCAGTCCCAGCGCAGGAGAGGGATCCTTTCAGAGGCTCCCCACAGACATCTCCCCTCACTACACATGGTGGCAAACAGACTTTTGGGGGTCTTGCTCCAGACACCCAACCACCCATGAATCACCCATGGCCAAAGAGGAAAAGGACTGGGCCCGCCTCCATTGTCACCCCACACACACTTGTTGATGGATTGGTTGGAAAATCTGGCCCAGGGCCTGCTCAACGTGTTCCATCTCCAATTTGTATGTTCAGATTTCGGCTTGTGTCCAAGCTGGTGCCTCTGCCTGCCCTCCCCAAGGTCAGTGAGGAGCAGAACTTAGCTTAGGACTGGGGACTCCACCAGTCCTACTTGTACCCAGCACCAAACTCATTTAATTGGGGTCTCCCGATAAAACCTGGGTGCCGCCTGCTGCCCCTGCCCCCAAAGGCTCAAACATAGTTTTCCATCTTCTTGGGAATCCTACTGCCACTCAAAGCTTCCACCCTGACCTTCAGGATGCTTGTCTGCCTCAGGCCAGCTTCAGTCCCAGGGCAAGTTGCCCCCTACATGCTGCGTCCAGCCCCTTCCCATCCCCCAGCGTCTCCCCAGGGCCGCTCATGGGAAAAGCCAAATGCTGTGTCTTTGGAGAGGGCGAGGGGGGCTTTGTGGGACATTGTAAGGCTAGGGAAGATAAAGGGAGTCTGATGCACCTGCACCCAAAAACATAGAAATGGTCGGAAGAATTAGCAGGTGTCCACTCCCCACCCCCAGCATCTTCCAAAAGGGGGCTGAGCTCCATTCAGAGGTGAGGCTCAGCTCCTCAGCTCCACGTGAAATGCAGTCGGCTTCCGGCTGGGTTCCCTCCTGGGGGTCTAGCTGCATCCATTGGCTCCCCTGTTCCTTTTGAGCCCCCTAACCTACCAAGGTCCCGCCGAGGATGTGGCCTCCGCCCCCCGCAGCTGCCGCAGGAGCCTCTGCCTTTAAAGCGGCCGGCAGGGGTCTGGGCGGGCCCACTTCAGCCTGGGAAGGCCAGTGTCGTTTCCCCACAGACCCCGCAGGGCGTTTCTTCTGGGGCCACCGAATCCTTAGCATCCCCAACCCCAGCCCCTCCGCGCCACGGGAAACCGAGACGACGCTCTTTTGAACAATCCCGAATGTGTCACCACAGAGGGGCATTCTACACTGGCCCCTACCCCAACTCCTACCTAGTACATTGCTTGCCCACCCCTCAAGCCCCGTGCGGACTGCGGTACCTAGCCCCGGGGGACTTTCTAGCCCTGCCTTCCGATCCGCGTAGGTGCGTCCGTTCGCCTAGGGGTAGGGTGGCATGTCACTCCGGGTCCCTCCGGCCTCATGGCTTCCCTGCCCCTGTTCTCCCTTCTCCGCATCAGGAGGGGCGCGAGATAGCTAGGCCGACCCCTACCCCCGCAGGCTGCGGCCATCGGCCGCCCCGAGCGCAGCGCCAGACACTTGGTTTGGGGGGTGTCATCCTGACGCGCAGGAAGGGCACACAGGCGGGAAGGGGCTTCATTTCGGATCTGGGAGGCTTGCCTGGCGCCTGCCCTCGCCGGCTCTCCGTCGGTGGAGGTCGCGGCTGGAGGAGACCGCCAAGCCAGAGGAGGGGATCCGAGGTCCCGGCTGGGCGAAGGTTCTGGAGCCGGCGGAAGACAGCTGAGGCATGGAGGGGCAGCCGCGGCAGGGCGACCCTTACCTGCTCACTGCGGGGCCTGTCCGTGGGGCAGCAGCAGACTCCGCAAAGGACGCGCAGCCTGCGAGTCCGCGGCCCGCGCGGCGCGGGGATGGGGAGCGTGTGCGCCGAGGGGAGCGCGCCGAGCCGGGTCTCCGCACCTGTGTGGCCGCGGACGGCCAGGGTCCGTATGTCCCTGCGCGGCGGCGTGTGCGTGTGCGCAAGCGGGGACCACGCTCGCCCGGAGCCGCCGCCGCCGCCGCCGTTAGTCCCCGCCCGGGGCCGAGCGCAGCGCCCCACTTCGCCCGCCCCGCGCGGCGCGGCACGGCAGCCCAGCTCAGCTCAGTCCTGCAGGAGAGGCGCCGCCTCCGCCGCGAAGCCAGGCCGGGCGCTGGAGGGAGGCGACAGACCACCGCCTCCCGCTGCACACTTCGCAGTCTGGGGAGGGGGTGCTGCACGCCAATGAGCGCCCGGGGGCGGGGTTAGGCCAAGGGTTGTGCGGTGCGGGGCGCGGTGGGGCGCGCGGTAAGGGGCCGGGTGGGGGGCGCGGTGGGGGCGCCGGGCTGCTCAACCTCACCCCACCAGCAGCACAGACCTGAGCAGGAGCTGCGGCGGGAAATCCCAGTGGCGGGAGTCGGGGACGCTGAGGTGGAGGCCTCAGCAGCCTCTCATCCCCGTCTCCTCTATCTCTGGGCCTCCTGGGCTTACCACCCTCTTTCCACTCCCTCCATCACAGCCAGGACTAGAAAGCCGTCTTTCTTCTCCCTAGGTCCTCAAGATTTCCTGTGTATCAGAGCCTGTCTTCCCCCTCCTCCAAGAAGACTTCCTTACCAGGCAAGTCTCAGACCCTCCTTGGGCTCCTCTTTGCCCCTACCGCCGAGGTCTGGGAGGGTCGGCTAGTTTGGGGGTGCCTGTCGCGATGTACTCAAATGTGACCCTCCCCCCTACCCCCGCGCGAGAACAACCAGAAAGGGGATGGTAGTGCTTACAGGACAGAGACAACTTAAAATATCAGGCTGCCTGGCTCCAGTCCCAGCTGTGCCACAGCTCTGTGAGCTTGGGTAAGTGGCTCAGCCTCTCTGAGCTTCAGCTTCTTTATCTGCACAAGGGAACAGTAGTACTGGCTCCCAGGACTCTTCACAGCAGCAGTAAATAAAAATGGTGCACTCACTCCACAGTAGTTTCTCCCTGGTATCATTGATTCGCCGATGCTGAATAAATTACTATTGCTACTGTTATTACAGTCCTGTCTAAACTCCTCCTAGTAGAAATGGCTTAATAAGGAGAACTACACAGATAAAGGTGGCCTAGCGGGTTGGCAGTTTAGCTGAGAGTTAGCTGCCAAACCTTAGCTGAGAGTAGTTAGCTACCCATTCCCAGGCAAGTTCTCACCCTCTGCCCACCCCACCCCAGCCCCCATCCCACAGCTGCTCCTGCCTGCCTCTGCCCTCAGTTTTTGGTCCCTGCCTCAGGCATCAGTCTCTTAGAGCGTCTCAGTTCTGCAGCCAGGCTCTATTCTTGCCCATTCGAGTAAATTCTCACTCAGCTTCCCTTTGGGCCCAAGTTCTAGGTATGGCCACCTTGTCGAGGAGGCCTCAAGGAGGGGGAAGGAGGAGGGAGAACCCTGAGTCTTCCTTTGGGGTCCCCAGTCTACCAAAGAGGAAAGGACCTGTGGATGGAGAGGAATCCATATGGAAACTTGAAAGAAGCAATCTGAGGTCCCAGAAAGACACATGGAGGTTCCTAGGTCCATGTTTCTCTTTACTGACCAATGGCCACTGGCCACTGACCCCCATTGACACAACACGCTGGTAGTCTGATTGTCTCATATTCCTTTCAGTCCAGGAAAGCTTCCTGGTGGAGGAGAATATCAGTCTTATCTATATCAAGAAAGAATGAAGAGAATGGAGAGAAGAAATAACAGAAAGAAAAGGGCCAGGTGCTGTGCTAAAATTAGACACAGACAGGACCTCCCTCTAATCCTGGCTAACCCCTTCTTAGCTTGTTGCCCTAACCCCTGAGAGCTGATTCCTTCATCTGCCTCCAACTCTGGTGTTGTGAAGATCAAATGAGATGCTATGTGTAAAGCTTTCTGTAAACTGTGAAACTAAGTGTGAGGGAAAGGAGGCTGCCAGGAGTCTCAGAGTCAAGAGGGACTCAGAATGCAGGACGTAGAGGGCCTGGGAGTGAGAGGAAGGGTGGAGATCAAGGTCGTCTATGGCAGACCAGCCCATCCTGGGAATGTGGATGCCCAGACTTCCAGATAGAGGCCCCCCTACTCTGAAGTTCAGCATTCAGTTCCAGATTTATTCCCTTTCCATACTCTCGGTTCTTCAGTTTCCACTGTGGGTTCCAGATCCCCTGGAAGGAGCCAGTGGGGCTGGAAATCCAGATCCTACTCTACCTACTGCCCACCAAACCAGGCATGCCCCCATCTACCCAAAAGGGGCACTTTTTTCTAGTGGATCCACCTGGAGGCAGCACCTCTCTAAAGCTCTTAAAGATGCCATGTAGGCTAGTAGCCCTCGTAGACTTCGATTCTAATTCCAGCCCCCCGAGTAGCATCAGCCTGGGTGAGGCATAGAACACACATTAGAGATGGGATCCAGGAGGGTTGTCTAGTCTCCTTCTCTATGCGTGGGGTGCCTTAGCCCAGAGGGGCAACAAGACTAGCCCGAGGACACACAGGCAACTTTCTTATCAGAAACCTTATCCTGCTGCCCAACTTAGTGTTGTTCTACCTTGTGAGCTCTTTCCAACCCCTTAATTCTGGAAGTCACTCAGGCTTTCACATTCTGCACTGCTCTCCACCTGTCTCAGGCATCCACTGTAGTCTCTCCAAATAACCTTGGGAGAGGAGCTATGCCAATTCTGTTCCCCGAGATTAGGCCTCCCCAGGGACAGGCTCCTTTTCTCTGCCTCTCTACCCAATCACCCAAAAAAAATCAACTTCACCTCCAGATCTAGCCCTGACCTTGTAAGCCAGCCAGCCTACCACTCCCACCCTACCCCTACCTGCCTGGCTTTGGGAAGACCTGAGGCCAAGGGACCACCCCTGGGAAGTCTTCTCTCAGAGGACCCCTTGGGCTACCTTCTCTTTCCTAGGGAGGGAGGCTGGGGGGCCCCCTCACCAGCTTTTCCCTGCCTTGAGGTGCTCACTGCCTCACTCCCTTCCACAAGCCAGCCAGCCAGCCAGGCGGGCAGCAGCTGAAAAATATGGGTTTTAATTCAATTTTCTGAGACATGGCTGAGGGAGATGGATGCCAGGCCACCCTACCCAGCATTCATCTCTCCTGAGCAGCAGTTTCCTCCCTAACTACAGGGCCCCCACCCCAGCCCACCCCACTCCACCCCACCCCACTCCAGCTTTTACGCTGCTCAGACAAGAACGGCACACACAAGGACACAGGTGCTTTATTGTAGACAGCTGGCATCGACCGAATGCTCACCATGTCTTGCGCCAATGCTTGTCAACCTTCCGGGCACTACAGACTCCCCCCAGGGAGCTTTTAAAAAGTACCTACACCCAAGCCTCACCACCCAAGATAATTAGACAATTGGTCCATGGTGAGGCCTGGGCAAAAGAATTTTTTATAACTCCCCAGGGGATGCTAATGTGCAGCCACGGTTAGTTAGGAACCCCTGTTGTCAGCCCTCTGCTAATGCTTTGCGGGCAAGCATCCCAAGACAGCATGCTCATATGTCCAGAACAGGTTAGAAGTGTGCTGAGATGCTGGTCCCTCAGCCTGCTGGGCAGCCATAAGCAGCCTTTTCCACTTTCCTCAGGAGACATATAAATGTTTTCATTTTCCACAGGCACCAAGGTATGGAAAGGCTGGGAAGCAACTGCTTTTTGTGCATTGGCCCATTTAATCCCTGTTTGGGGAATGCTGTGAGCCTTGAATGCCAGACTGTGAAATAGTGTTTCTGTCTCTGGGAAAGCTCCATTGAGAATGCTGTCTGGTCTGCTACATCTGCAATGGGGTCAGATGGCCAGAGAGACACTGAGGAGCCCCAGGTGCCTCAGGGAGTGCTCCCTGGAAGGCCTGGAAGCATCAGCAACAGAACAGAGCAAGCAACAGAGAGGCCTTGGAAAGCTTAGCCCCCCGAAGCTGGGTAAGCTATCCCTATTGCCCCGCTAAGGCCCTTTGTCCCTGAACACACAGGCTCCAGAGACATTCCAGTGGCAGGGTTGAGTTCCCCTGGGAGGCCACCCACCCCAGAAGCAGCCCAGAAGGCCAGGTGCACTCCTTTCCCCTGATGTCTCATAGAGGAGCCAGGAGGTAGCATCCTCATCAGATGAACCCATGCCATCTAGAGCCTTTTCAGTCACCCCATGGACCCTGGTCCCCAGGACTCTTGGAATCCTCTGAGAAACCAAGGGAATGAAGGTTAGGTTGCTTAGATCCATGATTTTCAAACTGTGTTCCAAGAGCTCTAGAAATCCTTGAAGCTGCCTCACAAAAAGCCTGGAGTCAAGGAGGAGTCAAGGGGATACCCATGTTCAGAGATGCCTGGGAGCTCCTTAGAGATTAGGCCTGAGTCCTCTCTGTCCACCACCCACCACAGGACACAGCAATGGGTGAGGACGAGCAAGGGAAAAAGGGCTGTTGGGAGTAGGGGCAGGTGGGGCCAGGGGACAAAAGACTTGGGCCCTAAATGCTAAGTGCCGACTTGACCATTTAGCACCCCCTTTCACAGATGAAGAAAATGAGGCTCAGGGAACAGAAATGGTTTGTTCTGTTATGGGGCTAACTAGTGGCAGAGCTGGGCCAACACACCAGGTCTCTGGGCTTTTAGTCCTGTGCTCTATCCCCAGAATCGTGACCTTAGAAGGGAAGACATGCCTCTAGGGAGTTGGAAAGTGTGGGTGTGTTGGGGGTGGGATGGGTGGAAGAAGTAATTTCTTGAAGCCTGGGGCAATAGCAAGAGACATATGTGAAGAGTCAAGTGCCCTGAGTCTCTGTCCTTTGTGTACATAAATATCCAAATGCACCCTTACCCTCAGATAAGCATATGCTCAATTATACACTTATTGCTACACCTGAGTACACTGTGCACACCTACACATGTGCATTTCCATTTAATATGTATGCCCAGAGGTGCATTCACATACAGTCCAAGTATGTGCATGCACTCAGATGCGCAGGCGTGTGCGCACGCACACACACACACACGCCATCCACAGATCTGGAATAGGAAAGCACATCTTTTCTACCAAGATAGAGATATTCCCT